TCATTTGTGTTCTGCATTTCCTGTAAAATTTTAAATTTTGTACATAATTTAGTTCCTCGCTTCTCATATGTTTAATCATGATTCTTTAAATCTAAACCGCAGTGATTATTTATCAATAAATAATCACATAATATTTTTCTTCATCCCTTTGGTACGGTACAACAGAGAGGTGAGATCTTCAACAAATTCAATAAAAAAAAAGTCAAAAATAGTTTATAAATAATTTGAACTGTTTGTAATGCAAAATAACATTCCAGAATACACTAATTTAGAACACAGCAATATAACAGTCCAAAACTATTATCCAAAAAACATTACTTTTGAAATCGAAATCCCACCTCAAGGAGAAAAAGTTGAATGCCAGGAATTATTTTATATCTGAATCGTTATTGCATAACATGTACTATTTGTTCTAAGTGAACAGATTTTAAATTAGCAGTATTAAAAATAAAATAAAATATAAAAAATATGCGTAATTATATCGTCAGTGCTCAAGATTGATGAGTGATTACTGCTTCGCGGCGCGTCAACGGATAAGGTCATTAGTCCCGTAAGTGTAGTACATTTTTTTCTCGGGAGGCAAGAAAAAATGTACTACACTTACTCCGCTGCAAGATTTGGCGCCGACCTACACATCGGCTTGCGGGATTTTCAGAACCAGTGGGGGCACAGCCTCAGCCAGGCCAAGCTCTAAACTCCCGACTAATCTCTCGGAATGTGCGGTAGTGTAGTACATGTAAGTGTAATTATGTGGGGTGAAAGTAAGGGGTGAGGACAGGACAAGGAAGAGGATGGAAAGATCGCGCGCGGTCCGTGGCCTGTTTGTAAGGGAACTGTTTCAGGATTCGCCTGGCTATCTAAATAGAGTAGCCGCCTCTTCGGGTTTGACTCGAATTCTCCAGGTTTCAGAAATTATCTCTGGGTTCCGGGTTGGTTATACGAGCAATGAAATTCGTTGTGATCCTGATAGCCGTGAAGTTCGTGATAGCTGAGTTTGTCCTTGGCTTACATCGTTAATGCATACAAAATAAACGGCGCGATAAATCGATGCATTTCGAAAGCCGTCATGATGCGATATAATGCGATTCGACTGGATGAGCCTCATGAATTTTTTCTTTGTAGAATCTATAAGTTTACTTTAATATTCATATTTCGTGCTAAAAATGTGTTTAACCCATAAAAAATACAAATTCATATATTTTACGATATAGAATCAGATTCATAATGATTTGACTTTTGTGACCCCCCCCCTCCGATTCAAAATCTCCAGTTTCCAGAAGGTGGCAACCCTAGATCACAATCATTTTGCGCCCACGCGAACGAGGAAAAATCCGTCATTGTTAAGCGACGGCTGAAATTACCATCATCGTTAACGCTTCGAGGGCGGGGTTGTGGAATTGAAGGGAATGGCGGGAAAGCGCTTTAGAGAGAGGAAGCACTAATAGGCTCTTCGCCTTGTGCCAAGTTGTAAGGCAGCAAGCATCCAGCAGCGTCGACACTTGAGACGTGGAGGTTGACGTCAGCGGCGAAACATCTTTATGGCTTCGTCGCGGGGCCGCTTTACCTCGCGCAGAGGCGGAGGCAGGGCCGAGGCGAGTAGGCAACAGGGGGGGGGGGGGCGCGGGTGAAGCAAGCGTGTCGAACACGGCGAGGAGACACGTGGAAAAGAAGGGGGAGGGGCGAGCACAGCCGAAGAACGCGATGGACACACCTCCTAATTAAATATGAAAGGAATGTTCTTTGTGACGAGGAAAAGTAACAGAGACAATGCGTAGAGTACATCTTGAAACGGTTCAAGTATTTAAAAAGTGTAAACCTTTACGTTCTAAAAATTAAACTTTTTCTTATTTTATGAACATGGTGGTTCAAAATTTGATTTATAACTATTATCATACAGAATAAATAAATAATTAATACTCATAATTTCTAGTATATTACGTCTTTCGAAATAGCTAACTAAATTAATGAACATTAGGGATCAGGAAGTGGTGTGTAAGTTTTAGTCGATGAGGGCTATTTGTGTTACATAATCGCATAAAGGACGTGCATTTAGTTATCTTTGAATCTGCGCATTAGAAAGAATTCACGGAACTTTTATAATTCTTGTTAAAAATGTGTTTGATGTATTGTTATTATTTGAGGATTTCTAGTGGCAACGCCTTTCCTAAAACAGCATGCCTAAATTACGGAAGGTAGGTGGAAAAAATTGTAAAATAAAAGTCAACATTCAACTTTCATTGTAGACCGTGCAATGACTATAGGAAATAGTTTTGATATTTTCAATGATTCTTTAAACTCAATTGCATTAATTTCCAAATTGTTAGTGTTTTTTTGTAAAGAAACCCTCCTACATCTTTTCCAGCGAGAAGGTACACGGTATATAAGTTCTGTGAAGATTTAATTCGGTAGGATTTCTGGGATTGCGTAAGGTGAACGTTTTGTTTTGAAATTATAGGATTATTTTTATTATCCATAATTGGGTTCAAATAATTTACTAATTTGGAGTGTTTTGAATATAATTGTTGGCTATGGTAGTGTCATGAGTTGTTGATAGCGCTGGATTGGACCATCATTTAGAAGGTCATTACTAAAAATGTTGGCGATAAGATAATACCAAGTTTCTAGTACATCTGCAGTAACAATGTATGGGTCGAGGCGGAAACTTTGATTTTTACTGTAAATTATCTGCTTAATCGGCTTAAACAGTATTGTATATTAAATTAACTTGTTTATTTGATGAATAATCAAAAATCAACAAGTGGATCTACTCTCATATACTTTGAAGAATTTTTGGAGAATTAAAGTTACTTCTAAAAAGTAGTATTATATAAGTAATTAGAATGTTGGAAGTACTCGTATGTAATAACTAATAACGAATCGTATATTCCATCCATCGACGTTTTCAATAGAGATTTTAGCAATGTCTCTTATTTTGAAAAAAATCATCTTCAGTGCATTTCATTTTGAGAGTTCCGTGATACGCTATGCATGTGGTAATATTTACGATATTTCTGTGCCAAAATATGTTTTCATTTAAATTCTCTGATAATATTAATTTCCGCTGACGATCGTCACAGATCTCTCGTAAATTCGATTCGGTCATATTTCAGTAGTGGAGCACATTCGCTCTCTTTTCTCAACAACTGCGAGGTCAAACCAAATGGGGCCTTGCAACGCGATGGCCTCATGGCCCGAATAATTCGTCGCCCCTATGCTTTCAATGCTGCTGGCGTTATCATGGACTGTGACAGGCAACCTCATTTGCGGCAGGTGTGAAACGGGATGGGTGTTATCTATAATTTTGAACTTACAGAGTTTGGAAGAACATACAAACACTAGTGAGAATGCGCGGTTTACCGAAGGTTTTCTTCCTCTTTGTGTTATTACTCATTAACTGCTCGTATTTTTTTTTTAAATTGCATGACATTCATTTAAAGATCTAAAATTGAGGAAAAAATTACATTTAGAAAGAAATACGTGCCTTTAATATTGAAGGTATAAAATAATTCGAAAATTAATTTGAACTTTTGCAATTTTAAAATTTCAGAGATTTTAATAATTATCAGAAGTATATTTACAATTTTTATAAATATTTATAAATGCAGGAACAAGAAATGTAAAGAAAAAATAGCCATTTTCCTGAAAATTTTGAACTTATCACAGGGGTTTCATGTAAGTACAACAAAAAATTAAAATATGTTAATGATTTCTAAAATTTCACAACTAGATCTTACTTCTTACGTAGTTGTCAATTTTCTGCTCAAAAGTTTTTCATTAATTTGACAGCGTTATGCGTGAGCTATCCATACGGAGAGATACAAAATTGTGTGTATGTTCTCGTCATATGCATATATCTTAACCATCCTTGTAACAGCACAAGTATACCTTAATCCTGATGTGTGTGCGAAGGCACACCTCAAAAGAACCTTTTAAACACAGATTTTGCGATGGAAAATTTGAGATCGTATTGTTGAAGTAATTCCAATACTTTTTAATAAACTCAGAAAACTAAGAATCTAATTGACCAAACGTTGACAATATAATATATCTTATTCCTTTGTTTTACTTAAATTTATATTATTTAACCAATTAATTTTAGTGACAAACGATGTAATCATGAACAAATTATGGTCATGATCTTGGAGAGCCAAGCAAAGAATTGGTAAAATATTTGGGAATACACGCGTCTTTTTAATTGTTCATTTACAATTACTGCATAAACAATGTGCTAAGAATCTTGAAAAATGTGTCAAACTATGTAAATAGTATAATTAATTATCACGAGTATTGTAATAATAGCATTCATTATCATTGACTCTCTAAATGAGTAGTGCTTCTCAGGACAATACTTCACTTATGTTTCCATCCTATGTTACAATCTTTCACCGAATGTTCGTGTAAAGAAAAAATATGAATAAATATTTCATTGTTAAAAATATGAAGTTTTAATTTTTTTCAAACCATCAATAACCTAAGCATATGCAAACATAAGCACATGCAGTGGCGCACCCAAGGGGGATGGGGTTCATAGGGTTTCAGTCCTCCCTCGAGGCAACAATACATTTTTTTATAAGATATTTTACTAATTGTTTTTATTCCAACGAAAGTCATTCAAATTTTATTTTGTTTTCAGTGCAAATGAAACAACTATTTATGCGAAAACATCGCGTGATCTGCTCGCTATACCTATCCTTCCCCCCCCCTCCCCCATCACCCAGAGAAGAATCGTGGGCGCGCCTCTGAGTGTATGTATTGTGGAAGAGACTTTATCTTCAATGTCAGACGATACGAGCATAAGTCAACATGTTTCCAATACTGCCAGGGATTCACTGAGGCCGGCGCGTACAGGAAACCCAGAACGCGGGCTGTGGCGTCGCGTGATTCCTGCGCGGAGATGCAAGCGGGACGACGGGAATGCCCTTGACCGGGCAGTTCCCAAGGCCCGGCTCAGCGCGCTCCGGCTGGCTGTGCCCGCCCGCGGCGAGGCGGCCGCGAGGCTCAGTTCGCAGCCGGCTGCTCATCCCGTCGCTGCCTTTCCCTGCCGCTCCGCCGCCGAGTGTGTCACGTGACTTTCGCGGCGACAGCCGCTCCGTCTCTCCGTTAACGAAAAGGAGCTTCTCCTTCCTTGGCGCGATAACGCCTCAAAAGAGCAATCTCCGTATCAAGTACCTGACTCCGTGAGATGAAGAACACAGGATACAATCGCTGATCCTTCTCTTTCGAGTGGCCTTTAGTGACGTGTCGGCAATTAGTGACCTTTGAAGACGGCGCTTTACCTCGTTCGTAAGTATCGATTGTGGTGGGGTCGACGCGACCGCACGTTCGATAGGCAGCGACTCGGCGAGAAAGAAAACACAACAAGCGAATGAGGAGGAGTTTCAGCGTAGTGCGACGAGCGCGGAAGTGAGATTATTGGGGGGGATGGTGGGTTGACCTTTGACAAAGGTCTTACAGGTGCGTCATTATAAAGTGTGTTAAGCAGGGTCTCCGCTTTGTTTTGCGTCACTACACGCCTGTGGCGCTGTCTAACTCTCGCTTTTACGATGAGTGTGTAAGATAAAGAACAATCTTATGGCCGGGGTCAGTGCGTCTCGGCGCCTATCATGGAGCATCTGTCTTGCAATGGACCAGACGATGGTGGCGGTGACTCGGACCTGGATCCCAGGATTCAGGTACTAGTGTTTTCTGCCCTCCCTGATTTTATGATGACATGTAGTTGATGTCTTGTAACTTGATAACTAGTCCAGTACATTTGTAGTTAATGTTTCTATTTTGTCAGATTGAATTGGAAAAACTGAACAGTGCCACTGATGAAATCAACAAATTAGAAACAGAATTAGATGTGAGTACTGCATTTACCCTAACCTGTATATCCATGTAATATGGCTGGGCCAATTGTAATACAAACTGATATCCTTCCATCAAGTGACATTTGACCTTTTGTATTACTGGATACTTAACATTCTACAGTATTCATTATTGATTCATGGACTATTTTACAGGAAGCAAACACAACTTTCCGTTTGTTACTTAATGAGTCCACACGTAGACTTAAATTGCTCAGCAAAAAATTGGGGGGCTGCATTGAACGAGCACGTCCATACTATGAAGCTCTTGAAGTTGCAAGGCAAGCCCAACTGGAATGTCAGAGAGCTGCAGTACAGTTTCAAAGAGCCAATGGTATGCTGTCATTGTAACCTTTTTTTTTTTTTAATTTCCACAATTTCGTAGTGCCTTTTACAAATGTATTTGTTGAAGATAAGGAATATTAAGTATTGTTATTCTTTTTTTAAAAGATTGTGAAAGTGTACACATACCCATGTTATTGCAGAAATTCATCAGGCTGCGAAGGAAACTGTGGCATTGGCAGAACAGCGATTCTTGAGCAAGCAGCATGAATGGCAGTTTGATAATGCATGGCAGGAAATGTTAAATCATGCAACAATCAAAGTAAGGAATTTCTTCAGACATATTAGGGCTGTACTTTTGTATCAATTAATTCTGATTACACGCTGTCATTAACTTAGGTTATGGATGCTGAGAATCAAAAGGCTGAGAGTGGCAGAGAACACCAGAAAAGAGCAACACTTTTCAATGCAGCTGAACAGCAGGTAAAATTAATCGTATTACACTATTTTCTTTATTTATGTAAATACTGAATTTAAATATAAATAGCCCATCAAAAATAACATTAGCTTATGACAGGGCTTTCAAACGTCTAACATTTGGTCTTGATGCAAGCGATCCAACAATTTATAATTGTTCAGCAAACTAGTCCATAAGTTTTTATATTTTTTTATGCATATTTTTAATTCAAAATCAGTTTCAAATACATTTGTACTGAAGTTTGCTGTGAAGCATTTTTCATTAAGTAGATTCTCTCAAGAAAGGTTTAACTTCTTAACAACACTGAGGAGCATAGGGGAAGTGAAGCTATTCTGAGAGTAGTCTCAAAGTTGAATTTTGAAAGCTTTTGAATAAATTTTACCAAAATAAATATATCGACTTGCTCATCAAATTGAAGATATAATGAAAACATAAATGGTTTTCATGGTTGGATGTGATGTTTTTGAATGACCATCAATGATGAATGAAATGTTCCGTCCAATTCAAGCGAATTGCTTATATTTACTTTTGGAGTTTAAAATAATTTTCAAATTTGCAAAGAATAGTATGTAGTTTGTGGCTTGGAAAATACTATTATCCAGAAAGAAATTCTTTTCCATACCCATGAAACTTGTGTAACCGTGGACTAGAGGGAAAAGACTTCAGTCTGTTTCTATTGACAATGGATGCAGTATACATATCATGAAGACAGACTTGAGAGAAACAGAAGGAAGTGAATTTTCACTGCTTAATATTTAATAGACAGGTCATTCGTTAGTGTCATCTGAGGAATGAATCATAGTTGAAGGTGCTGTGAATTTCATCTGGTGACATACTGTTGCACGCTGTCAATTTAAGAACATTCTTTTTGACATTGACAGCATGAGGAATTTTTTATTATTTTTTTTGGTGATGAAATTGAGATACTCATATTCTTTATCAATAGAAAGCATTCTATAGCTGTTGTTTCAGAGGTTTTGTGGTAATAGATTTTTGTTTTTTTTATACATTTGACAACACATTACTTTTCATAATCTGAAAAGTCAGGTAGAGAATTGTTTTGTCATTGATCTTTGTACAGTGTGAGGGATTGAAAGGATTCAAACCAAAACGATTTCTTTAAAACAAAATTCTTTTGAGTGCTCGTTCTCATGCTGGGTTTTTTGTTTTGAAACCAGTAAAACCTCTTGGAAAAATATAACCTGTGATGAGATAAAAAAACAACAACTAATTTTTGCTCTCTTTGACAAGCTGACATTTAAAATCAGATTTACTGATGGAAACAATTAAATTTCTACTCAAACTAAAAGAAATAATAGGCTGCTAGCAGCTTGAAGGGTTATTAATTCTTTAATCTGTATATTGAATTTAAGATCTGTTGTACATAAAGTATCATACATTTAATAAATTTAAAAACAGCCTAGTTCTAGACTATGTAAAAATTAGTATGCAAACTTTTGTTCTCAAAACTGCCAGATTTGTGTCCTTTTTCAATGTATTTAAAAAGGTTACTTCTAAATGACAATGACTTCCTCTGAGATGTAACATATGTGTAATAATGAAATTTTCTGTTACTTTTGCTGACAATTAGATTTTTTTATTAGTGTGAATTAACATTCATTCTAGTCTGACAGCATTATTTATCTTCATATTTATCCTTTATTTACTACCTCAACAGCAGCAATTCTAAAAGTCAAAAACTCCTCAATGTATGTGTTAATTACTTTGTTCTTGTGAATTTGAATTGATATATATTATTTCCAACTGAATTTGTGAACTAAGACTAATAAATCTTTATTGGACTTCAGCGTTGCTAAAGAATAAACAATTAGAAGACTTAAGTAGATGCAGAGAGGGAAGAAGAATGATGACACATGTTACGATACTATACACAACAAAATGCAAAATACCAAATTACTTCTGATATTACTCATGATGTTTGGAAAAGAAATAATCTATAAATACTTTTTGAAATGGGAATTTGTCACAAGTACTAATTGAAATATTTATCTCAACATATTTATCTAGAACCCAAGTCTGTAAAGTGAAATTCACTATCAGCTGACTTTTCTGACTCGTTATCAGAAGTACTATCATCATCATTTTCTTCAGATCCTTTCAAAACATTGTCTGGAATGTCTTGTAAGATCTGAAGGATCTTGGCCAAACCAAGACCTCTATGATACTTGCCTATGTATCCCAAAAATACAATTTATCACAACTTGGATGATTCCCTCGAAAGCAAAGAGGCAGCTGAATCAACATAGAAATAATTACAATGCAAAATGAAAAGCTTTTGAGCAAAATGAAATGGATAGAAATGTAGAATTTCACAAAACTCTGGCAAAAAGAGTGAGAGGTGATAATTGAAACATTCAGGAATATTGTGCAGCTTCAAGATGAATTAGCTTTTTGGTGTCAAATTGTCATGCATGGGTACAGAAGGTGAAATAATGAATAGAAATTAAAGTTTTATAGATTTTTTTAAAAATTGTTTTACCTAGCGAACTACATCTGAAAGTGATGAAGACTTGTAAAAGATTATTATTCTCAAACCAAAATATAAAGTTATATTGTGAAATGAAATGCTCACTAGTGTTAAAATAACGCCTTCAGATGTTTGGGATTTAAAAATTACAGATTTGGCAGACATTTTTAAAATGTCCCTGAAATATGCACTCAAAAATTTTATATTTATATTTTCCTTAAATATACTTACATTAACTCAGGCCTACCGAGAATGCAATTAATATGAACATATCCTATGAAATTAAATAAATCTTTAAATTATGTTTAACACTTTGAATGTAATCGCTATGAGATGCATTGGTGTCACCCAGAGGCCAAACTATGATATACAGAATAACCTGTCTAAGGCGGAAATCTGCCTTCATCGGAAAAAAATCTCAGAACGGGCTAATTTCCTTTGCAAAGTACACTGGATAAGCCGGAAACCTGCTTAACATGGATATGGAGAGAAATTTTTAGTATGATGGTACTAAAAATTCTGGATAAGACAGGAAACAAATATTGTTTTAATATTAAACATTGACTTGTTTGTGAGACAGAGCTGTGCTAGTCTCTTTCTCAGTTATCCTCGTCCGAACATGGTATTTCCCTAGGTACTCGTGTGAATGCCACTGTTTATTTGTAATAGCACTGACGTTAACAAGCCTTTGGGAAGGAAGGAAAGATTTGAAGAGTGATCCTTCCATAGTTCCTGAAATGCATGCATTGTGTTCAGTGGTTCTAAGTGTTTCTTTTGACTGCTGAGTTAAAGTGCAAGTGTTGTTAATCAAGTGTTTATGATGTCAGACGGCAAATTGAATATGACAACTCTTTGTGAAAAAATTAGACTAATCGAAGAACATGAACAAAACAATGCTTCTGTCAAGGTTGCAATCAAGGAATTGGGAAAACTCAAATGTATTACACTTTAAAAACAAAAAGAAAATCAAGAACGAGTGGTTGAAATAATTGTTTTATAGGCAGTTGGCACTATATTAGTTAGTGCCTAGGGAAATAGCAGATGCCTAATTCATCAGATGAATTAATCTTTTCATACCAATATTGAAGAAAGTAATATTTCTTTTACTTTTTATGGAGTTCTTTGTTACGTAGACTCTGTGTAGCATTTCTTTGTCTCTCCTGGTTTACTTTCATTTCTTTGAGTTGTTAGGTGAGATAAACTACTTATATCATCTTTGAATGATTGTGTTTTCGGAACTAACAGTTTTATATGGCAGACCTGAATAAGCCTGAAATATGTACAATTCAGAAAAAAATATAGGATTCTAAGTAATTCTGGCTTAGACAGGTTTTACTGTTGTGTTCTATGAACAATGTAAGTAATTTGAATTAAAAGAATAGAAGTTTCCAAATGAATCATAGACAATAAATGAAACACGGGATAATTCTTAGCATATGAAATTCTTTCTTTCTTTTATTTTAGAAAACATAGCACATTTCGTGGTTACAGTTAAGTAATTAATTAAGCCATGTTACACACAGCTTAATTAATTACTCTCCTTTATCTTTTAGTCTCTTTTCACCGAATGTACTCCCCTACAGATCACTCACTTGACAGCCACTTCTGCCATTGAAGTCCCTCAGTAAGATTACTTCTTAATGTTTACTGATTGTTCTCAGCAATGTGTTCAAACCTTTAAAAACACTTCATTTATATTTGCAATGACCATTGTCTTCTTTATTCTTTTTTCTGTCTTCGTCTCTTTTCCTCATTTCGCGTCTTCTTCTTTCTTCTTTTTTTTTCTTCTTCTTTTCCTACTACTTGTCTTTCTTCTTCTTCTTCTTCTTCTTCTTCTTCTTCTTCTTCCCCTGATGTCTCTCAGTGTTGGGTTTCATGGCTTTGTCATTAGGGGCATATACAGCAATTACTACAATTTCATAATAGTGAAGTTCGTTTCAACATGCAACATTTGATCATTTATCTGCCCCCGGTTTTTCTGTTTCTCCTATACTTTTGTCCAAGATTATTATTGCATTGCAGCAAGATGTCTCATTGCCCATGACACACCACTATGACCTCTCTCCTCTTTTGGTACCCCCCAGTAAATATGTTTATACCCACCCGTCTGTTCTCAACCTTTGACGCTCTTATTTGTTTCCGAAAATGCTATAATATCTATACCATACTTGTCAGTTTCTTTGAATACTACTGAATCTTTGGTTGATTGCCCTTAAATATTCCAAATTCCAATTTTCATAGTCCTTTTCTTTGCCCGAAGTCATTGCAGATAATACCCATCAGATTCCAAGGATGTGTTGAGAAATTTTGGAAATGTTTTCTTTTTCGCAGTGATGAGGTGCAAGAAAATTGCTTTAACCCCCATACAGGAGGACCAAGGGATTTTCCATCTGGCTTCCCATGCCATAAGGAGATTGCCTTACTTGGCTTCAGAGCTTCCCTCTCCCCGTGAAGAGAAACAGAAGAAATTAGAAAGAGAAAAGAAAAGAAAACCAAAGATAAATGTGGAAAATGAATAACTTCCTAGCCCTCGAAACCTAATAGTATGAGTCAACAACGCAAGTGGCCTCGGGCGGCCAATAGAACAGATCACGGAGAAAGGGATGCGGCATAAGGAGAAGAAATAGCACATATGGGAAAAGGAATACTAGAAGCATAGGAAAGAATAAAGGATTAGGTGGGAAGGAAAGCAAGGAAAGAGATTATTCTGCCTGGTGGATGTAGGACGCCAAGCTTCAGTGGAATGCGCAAATCTCTCCATCCTCACGGACAGTGCTTACGTTAACAACATACCCTTTCATACTTTGTATTATTCACTTTTTAAACAAGTGGTTTTTTGTTTTTAGGTTTCATTATTTTTTATTTTGTAAATTTTCAGACAACTCTTTTTGTCTCGTACCTCTGGGCCAGTTTTTACAGTTATAAAGATGAATCCATGCACTATTAGCAGGGTGGACAAACTGTAATGTGAATGTTATCCTACTCAAATTTTCATGATTTCAGAATGGAATCTCATTTCTTTACTGAAAAAAAAGTAAACTAATTTTAATTTTGTATTCCGATTTTCAAAACACTGTTATTGTAAATTTACAGATGTTACATTGAACCACAAAATGTCTCCTATATTTTCTAATACAGAAAAGAAATCTCTCATGTTCTGAGAATTTGCCTGTAATTTATTGATTGCATATAATTTATTTGCGAACTTCTATTCTTTTAATTGTATCACTTCAGACAGTCACACTGTTTTCTCTCTGACCAAACAACTACTATACTTTACTTGAAATGCATTGCCAGAATTGGCAGGTAATCATGCAGTGATCTGCACGCCACACTATATGTTAAGTTTCTCCCATTGGAGATGTGAGTTGCTGTTACTAGTTACCCTGTGTGACAAAGTAGTGCTGCAAGAATTTCTATGTGCGATGAGGCTGCCCCCATCAGCCTCAATGAACTTATCTTTTGATCTTCATTAGTTTTTGGAATGTAAATTTGAAGAGTGTAATGGCTATGTCCACAACCTTGAAACAATCATTAATCCCTCTTCTTTAAGCTTTACTTTTCTAGGGCATTGATGAAGTTGAAACACCATAATTTTAATGCTTCAGTTATTCCTTTTAAGCTTTACAGCAGAGATATTATTCTATTGTGTGAACCAATATAATATAAGCCCAATGTTTTTTGGAAAAAATATTAATGAAAATGAGGAAGAATGGTGTTGATAGTTAAAATTATTTTTGGAAGAAAAATCTGACTATTTTCATTAATGAATATAAAATTCTTAAACTTCTTTTTTTATGTATCATTTGTTAATTACTCTCTTAATTTAGTGGTAAGGACTTTGCAGGCACTGCCAACAATCACCAATGTAAGAGATTCACTTCCGCATCATGAGCTTGTATGGTTTCTACTTGTATGGCTTTCTCTGAAAGCTTTGTGATAATCAGTAAAATTCCAATCTGATCATCACTCTTCATAGTTCACATGTTATCCAATAGTCTGAGCTTGCCATGCTCTGAGTGCAAGATTGCCATGCACCTACATTGATATAACAGTGATATATTACACAGATGTTCATGCTGGTTATGCAGATCCCATTTACAAATTCACATTTATAGATACAAAATAAAAGTCCCTTTAAGAGCGAAGAACTTTCAAATGTTCCCATAGAGGTGACGAGTAAGGCCCAGGGCGATCTGTTCCTGGAATTTTAGTCCAGGCAGCACACTCCAGAACGCTCCCGCGGAACCACCTCTCTACCTGTGAGGCAACTTCCCGTTAATGAAACTTGAAATATAGAAGCTTACTCAGTCCTAACTGGGGGGGGCCAAAACCGCGCAAAGTGGGCTCTTGAACTACCTCTGGCAGCAGGACTTTGAAAAATTTCAGAGTTGCTGTAGAAAGGGAATTGGAAACTGTAGATAAATTTGATTTCCGAGAAACATACTTTCTTTCCACATTTTTTAAAAAACTTCAGTCATACAATGCAATTTTAAATATAACATTTTAAATAAAAACATAACATAAAAATTTATATTTAATTTTAACTCTTCAGATATAAATTTATAGAGATTTTAAGATAACACGTAATTACTTAATATGTATTGTACACTTCTGCAATAAACAGGCAAATCGTAATCTTCAACACCCCAAACAAACAGACTTTTTTCAATAGTAATTTTTTAAACTGCAATTGAATTCTTCCTTTTGGTAATATCTTTTCTAACATAATGGTAGTGTTAAAATATTGAGTTTTTATTTGCTCATAATATTCAATTTCATTTATGTGTTTTTCTCACTTATACATTTTTTTCCTTCAGTCCCCTGAAACACGTAAAAGTGAAGTTTACTGTATTGTTTTGAAATGTTGTATATTTAACAATGTCAAATAAAACAAAAGTATAAAACCTTTCTGTATCGTAATGTGGCAAAGAAATTTTAAATTATTTGATGGGTTTGTATTTGTTTCAGGTTCAGCAGTTAGAACAGAAGTTACGTCGCAGTATAATCAAATCAAGGCCATATTTTGAGGAAAAATCACTGTGCCAAGGGCAGTTGGCTACACAAAAGGAACGTGTTGAATCTTTGCAAAAGGCTGTGTCTAGATCTAAAGTGTCTTATGCGTGCTCATTAAAGGAGCTTGAACGAATCTCAGAAGAAATCCATTGCAAGAGAAATAAATTGCAGAAGAAAGCCGAATTGGATGAATTGCCAGTGGGCCCTCGTGAGCCGGGTGTCGGTGCAGAACTCAATCAAACTGTGCAGGAATTCAGTGCAATGCCTTTGAAAGGAGCTGGGGATGAAATTCATGAGGCTGTGGGTGAATTGTCCAAAGATATGGATCGGAAATCTGACCCATCTCCGGACAATAGTGAAGGCCTTATGCTTGACTATGAGCGAGAGTTGGACAGATGTGATATGCGTAGTTTAGGAAGCCTGTCTGTTGGAACAAGTTCTGCAGTCAGTGAGAAAGACGATAGTGAAACTGCTGATGACAATGATGATAATGAAGAGGTAAGATAAATTAGTAATATGAAACAAAATGTTAGGAAAATATATTATAATTTATTGTTTACAAGAATTCTTCTCATAAAATGTAATTAACTGCACTTAAGGTGTCTTGTATAAGTAACTGCACTTACTTTTTACTCATAAGGTTACAGATGCTTCTTATTCATCTTCGTCATTGGCAACGTGGTCTAGGCTTAGTAGCCTGCTCATCATCTCTGAAAAAATCTCTCCACCCTTTTATGGACCTCTAATAGGCCTCTTTATGTCAGGCTAATATTTTAATATAATTTTCTACTCCCTTTATGTAATTCTGTTATTTGATGGCTGCAACCTGTTGCATAATGATACTCCTTACAATAGATTTCATTATGATACAGGTTCTTGACCAATCACAGAAAATTTTACAAACAAAGTATTGACCCTTAATTAAACATTGAGAATTGTTTTAGTAAATGTTTCATTTAATGGCATGCATTAAAATTGCATTTATTATTATATTATGCCTGATAGTTTTAATTTATTTTATTAGTAGTGGTTTGTACTTGGAATATGGTTTAAAATAAATTGGATCGTAATTTCTCTTTGATCCTATTTGACCAGGGCAGTGATAATGGTAGGGGGAGCATTTGACTGATGTTGATTTCAGGCCACAAGTCACTTCGTGCTATATATAAGTACATTGTATTATAAGTACTTGTATGTTGCTGTCGTGTAGTTTCTATTAAAAACTGGCCAATTCTTTACTTTCAAATGTCTAGTGAATGAGGGCACCTACAGAAATAAGAGTAAAAACAAAAATGGTGACCTTGGAATTATTGCAGCAACTTTTGTACTCTCTCACAAGCAGACTGGTAAACCAAAGCCACCTGTGACAGGGTAGGGTAACTGTCTGCCGGGTGGCCTTGACTATACCCTGCATGTCAACTGCCATGAAACAAATCAGTGTAAAAATTTAACTTATTAAAGTTACCATAAGTCGTAGAAAAAGTCTGATATGAAACTTGATGTAATAGGTATTAATACACTTGTGCAAAATTTACAATACTCATTTGTTCCTCACTCGTATTGTAATATCACACTCTTGTATTAATACCCATCATTACATCTTAGTTTCATTATGCACTGTAGTGGTGGTCAAGCAGAGTTTAATCTTTTAATATGTTGAAGTTACTGCTACTTTCTCTTATCTATGAGTTCTACAAGAATGAAAATACTTAATTAATTCATGATTTCTGCTCTTTCCTTTTGACGTATGAGGTAATAAAAAGTAGTCAGTCTTCATACCTTCATTTCTGCTTATTGAATTTTACTTCTGTCTGATCTTTCCTTAGCCCAATTCTCCAGTTTCGATCATTGGCCATGACTTAATAATGTTTAATAAGTTTCTTTGCCATGTTTAGATCTTAAAAAGTTTTAAGCTAAGTACCATAAATTCTTTGGACTTGTTAATTTTTCCTGTTATGTATTCTTTGTAAGTGTACAAAACATTACAACAATGGATTCACCTCTTCTGTATATAATTTTCCTCTCGTATTTTGGTAATACAAGAAATGTAAAAGTCACCAACTTTGTTTTGTTTGACAAGATTTTAATTTTCCTTTTTTTCCCTCAAAATTTTGTTTAGTTTTAAAATGTTTATTTGTAGTTTGTCTTCAAAGCTTGCTAATATCACTTGATTATCAGTGAATAAAATTGTAGCCCATGTATTTTACCCTACCATAAAACTGATCTTTTTACTAATTTGTCTCCCTTTAACAGTTTTATCTATTATAATTAAGTGAAAGTATGTATGTTTATATGTCCTACAAAAGCTTTAGAACCATTGGAATGATTTCTCCCAAATTTGGTACTAATCCTTTTGAGCGGCCAAGAATCCAAATCGCAGTTGTGTTTCAACATCATCCCAAAAATGTTGTTTCACAATATTCAGTTTAATGTAATCCCCAAAGCATCTGGTGGTCATTGTTACCAGATATTACAGGGCAGGGCCAAGTACCTTTTGTTCAAGTACAAGTAGTCTGTTGCTTTCTTAGAGGCAGGCAGGGTGCTTAATAAAAGACTATGATTAATAAAAATTCGGGTAATCTAATTGTTGAATATGTAATCTTAAGGAACAGTGGTGACATTGGCCCTACCAACAGCCCTACGCGACTCATTGATTGGCTATTTTAAATGAATTTTAAGAACTGCTTTCAACAGTTATTCTAGTATTTTAATAAATGTTCTGTACTGTTTGAACAGGTTGTTAGGGTCCTAAAGTTTGTTATCCAGAGAGAATCATAATGAATTCCATCAAAGCTTTTTTAATAGTTTTCAAATAATATGTGCCCTACAAGTTTTTTGATGTTAAAGTAACCCTAAAATAGGGTCTGCATCTTCTGTTTTGCAAAATCCACATTATTCTTGAGAATGTATGGTCTTGATGATTTGATTCATTCAATTAGTGATGATTTTAGCATATACATTTTAGTGTGCACTTATTGAGCTAATACTTCTGAAGTTACTACAATGTAGATAGTAGTTAATTTTTTTTAAGTATTGGAACTACAATTTCATTTGCTCAGTCTCTAAGAATGTTGCAATACATTTAAAGATATCCAAGAAACTATACATGGTAGTATTTGGCAAGTTTTTAAATAGTTTTATAATGATTCCATCACATCATGATGTTTTCTTTATACTTTATTATAGAATTCTTCATTACCTTCCTGATATACATAGTTCATTCTCTATCACGATCTTTTGGACTGAAATGAAGTATAAGCCCACACCTTGACATATGTATGCGTAGATAATATGATATGTTCTATTAAAATGTTGATTTCTGTGCATCTTGAATACATTCTCTTCTTCCTCCTTCCTCTCCCTTTTCCTTCTTTCACTGACTTTCTCTCTCTCCTCTCCTCTTCTCTCCTTCTCTTTTACCTTCCCCCCTTCCACTCTCTTCTGAAGCTGTAATGCATGCATAGCAATTTTATTTCCTTCATGTTATCATTAAGTAATGGCTTTGAATTTTAAGGAATGTTGTACTTAGGTGTAAAGCTAGTGATCTATTTCACTTGATGAAAACTATTTTTATAAGTATCATTAATTTTGAATCCTTTTATTGTACAGGATTTGGAGGAACTAAGAAAGAAAGTTCGAGAGTTGGCTATACGTCCAGTTGAAGCCGGTGAAGGGCAGCAAGCTTCAAGCAGTACAGCTCAGTGGGAGTCAGAATTAAATGCAACTGTTGCTAAACTTGATCACATGTTCCACTTGCAAGAATGTGCAAAGGAACTATCTGATTTGCCCCCATCCTCTCCTGTAAAATCATCGTCTGAACCTGAGAACAGTACATAAGTTGCAGACTCCAATTTAGTCTTCTGTTCTTTTAATAGTCCAGTACAAAATGTGATAAATGTTGAGAACTTTTGTTCAACATATTTCTAATCATTGCAGGCCTTTTTCATGAGCAGGTATACAGTCCCTACTGAAGAACGAGTACCTACTGCATGCTCTCTTGACTAAAAGTTGTACATTTCCTCATCATTCAATACTCCTAATATCTGTTTTAAATATTAGTGTAACTGGAATGCTCAGTTTTATGACCAATTGAAAACGTCGGTATGCAGTGAGGTTTTGATATTACAATACATAGCTCTCTGATATAATTGTTACTCTGTGCATGCAATATCATTAAAAAAAAAATATTGTACAGGGTGGTGTGCCTACATTTGTTAATGCCTTTCATTGTAAGAGCCCAAAGATTTATTTTCATATCTGCATGTAACATAGTTCAACATCACTTAAATACTTATTACAGACACTCCCTTCAGTGTCTTTCGAATCACCCAGAGATGAGTGTGTGAAGTTCACTATATTGCACAATATCAATTCACTGGGAAAGCACACCACCCCCCCTACTTGTAAGAATCAAGAGGACCAGAAAATTAATATTTGTACTTGTATAAATTACAAGTTTTCTTATATCTTGCATGTCTCTTTTGAACGCGATTGTGATACAAATACAAGATTAGACAATTTGAACAATTGTAATCTCTATATTTGTATCATTAATCTTGAATTGCCTCTCAGATAATTGGTCCTTCTTTTCCCAGAATTAATATTTTTCTAATGTTATGTTTGTTACAAATGTCATGGCTTCATTCATTAGTTTATGTTTGTCATTAGACTGAAGGCGGAAGAGAAAAATCTTTGGGTATGCTGGTTGCTAGAAGCATTATGGAGATCCATGGATAGTCTTAAGGACTGCCATGACTGTGATAAGAGGATCAGGGTTAAACGAAGCTCAGAAATTTCAACTTTTATAAGTGCACCACTTCTATAATGTTGTCATTGAACTCTTTTATGCTGAACTTATATATGTTGACCGTTGAATAAATTGCAAATTTGCTAGGTGTATTTCTTTTTAAAATTTAAAATAAAATTCTTCTGTGATAACAGTTATGACATTATCACTCTTATCTACTAATTGAAAGAATGAAGAATAGAATTGCCCAAAACTAATTTTCCGGCAAAGGGTTCCATTCATGGAAACGATATATTCGTAGGTTCAAATTCAGTAGTACATTAAAAACATTATCAACTTCTTAGACAATGAATGCAGTTAGGCCTATTATGCAAAATCCAATGTTGGTTATGACTTGTCAAGTATCTTGACTGTGTGTACATGAAATATTACTCTGCATTCCTGATATTAACACTTTGTGTGTAGTGTGGTTAATGGGTCCCTTCACCTAACAAGACTGATAACTATCTACTTATTTGTTAATTTTTAGTAGTTAACTCTGGTTTTAATTGTTCTATCGAATTGTTTTCAACTTCAAATGTAGACTGTAGACCAAGTTTTTAAAAACTTTGGAAAGTTGAAAGAGTTATTTAACCAGAAATCATTCATCACATAGGAAAGAATGAAATTCCGCGCTTGTGTCTGTCTGTATATGTGTGTTGCTGCCTGTGAAAACTCATCATTATTGTAGAACAGTAATTTTTATTGTAACATTAAAGTAAAAGTAATGTCTTGTATTTTTATGTGTACATAGTGGTGTGAAGTCACTTTTATCATGAAAAGGAAATTTATTTACTACAAAACACACTAAACCTTATTTAGTAGAATCTGTGAATAACTTTATTAATGTGTTTGTTTTCAAGTAACATTTAATATGTTTTATGGAATGTGTCTTCATAACCCTGCTGTTGAGAACTGATAGTCACCATTTTATGTGCAATTTTTGCTTTGCTTTATGCAACACCTATTAAAATAATGTGTGTGGTGAAAGTACAACATTACGAAATCATTATAGTTTTATTAAAACATGTTTTGTACTATTTTATTTGTGTTATAAAGTAAATTTTTATTTACTTATGTACAAAAAGATTACAGGTAGATAGAATGTTCTACGCATGCACGTTTCCTTGAGCTCTCATTTTTTTATATGCAAGAGCAGTTGGGGAGGATAGTTTAGTTGCCAGTAGTAAATTAAAACTAAAATCTGATGCAAATAGTTTGTGGTTCATTGGAGCACAAATTTCTGATTATAAAATGCTGAGATTATTCAGAGACAATGCTCGTCGCTAACATGATTCCTAGCTCAACTTTGCATGACAAAAGATATAAGCCAGAGCTCAAGAAAACGTGTGTGTGTGTACTATAATATTAAAGGCGCCTTTCATCTCCTACCTTAATCGCTGAAAGATTTCTTCACTTTATTTGCTTTCTAGGCATCACATATTAATTTAAATTATGTCTAGGGCATACAAATGTGTACAAATTTATTAAAAGTAAGATTTAGAGGATAATTCACAAGAACTGTTAGTTACAGTTATTATTTCTGAACAAGGTTCAATGTCCTGTAAATTTGACATTTTAGGTGACAGTTTTATTACTTATGTTTCAAGTATTGCTGGAACATGTTAAATTGTTATACCTCTTAAGTAAATGTGTGCAATGTTAAATAATGTATGACAGAAAGTTCCTTAATATAGGTTGTATTACATCAGCTTGTGAAAGTATTATATATGGTTGAACAGGGGTGACCATGCATTGTCCAAATGTTTCTGTTATTTGTGTGGTTTCACTGTCTGAGTGAATATCTGACCTCCTGTACAACTTGCTGTCAGTGTTAAATGTGCCATAGCATTTCACACATTACTGAACAATATTGTTCTTTGACTAGCACAGGAGATATTTTACAAAAATATTTATGTATGCTGGTATCATCCAGTACACAACAATTGGTAATTTTTCATTGGTTTGGCGGCATCTCAATTTTGTAACAAGTTTTCCAAAATGTTGTCCCAAGCAGTGTTATGCATTACCATGGTTGTACAATAAAAATGTTGAATAAACAGTGATTAATTTTTCTTAGTAAATTCTCAAGAGGGTAGTTTGAGATGTACTAAGTAACTTCATTTGTAATTATGTTATTAAGTATCATGTTCAGGGTAGCCCCTCCTTTCTGGAAACAAAATTCTGTTACTTTTCCTGTTTTTTCCAGTAAAATCCTACCCCCTTTTTTTCCCTAATAAAATTGTAAAGAATTTCACAATATTTAAAGAAAATATTAAATAAAAGTAAGACCTTTTCCTAAGCCTCAGAAATATTATTTCCTTTACAAAGAAAAATTGTGCCGAAAAATAATATACCAGTCCTCTCTCTTAATATAAAACTCTAAAACTATACGACATTTTTTGAAAATTTATAAGAAATCATGGCTACAGAACCCTGTTTAATGTGCTATTGGGTATGAAATTACACACTAGGATTGTATCCAACTGATAAAAGTTAAAAAAGATATATTTGCAGAATGTGACAGAAAACTCATAATTGCAACACAGATTATAATTATACATAACTAAGAAACAGTGTGTCCTAGGCCCCTAAAAATAGGTTTTCATGACCCTTAGTAACATGATTTTTGGGAGGACAGGCTGGGAAATGAGTGATAGTTGGGGGACGTATGAAAGGAAGGTGGTAGGAGAGACCCAAACTCTGTTTCTGAAATGGCATTCTACAGAATGAGACCTTTTTACTTGCTCACCTTATGGAGTACTTCATAAGAATGTAATCATACACTGGCTAACTGTGAATTTTTGCCAGAAAAACTTATTGAACTTTTATTTAAAATTTTTGGAGATTTAGTTCTTATGGGTGCCTTCACTCTGTGTAGGCAGGAACATAAAATATGGAGAAATATGAAAGCAATGAAAAATTCATTTGAAGGGGCAAGACAAATATAAAAATGAGAGTTTTTGCTCATGTCCAATTAGAATTATTTAACAAAAATATTATCTTTTTGTTTTGAAGTAAAGAAACTTCAACCATTGCATCTCTTAATAACATCAAAGTGCATGATGGATCACCTTGTGTTTTAACAAATTTTACAATACAATACATAATTGTCAAAACAAAATGAATTTGCCCTGAAATTCCTACAGCAGATATTTTTCTTGAAAGCAAAGTAAAAATATTTTTGGTAATGGGTATGGGCTGTACTCTTCAATACCACATTTTCCCCTTCTCTTTGGTAAATTGCTTATATAAAACAGACACTATTAACAGTCAAGATAGTCAAATTTGTTTGCATTATCCAAAAAACATAGTTTATCCTTAAATAAACAACAATAAATTAAATATGTTTATAAATCTTCTCAAACATATTAGATTCAAATTTAAATATTTTTTTTCTCACAAATAATAAGTTAAGTACAATATTAAAGGTTTTTGTTATAAGTTATTTATCTTCTCCATAATTTGCTTACGTAAATGAATAAAATGTACTGAAGTTGATAGTCAAGAAAGTACTCAGGGATAATTAGTCTTTTAATTTAAATTTGCTCTAAATATCACTTTTGTTTGTTTTTGGACTATTATTAATATTTTTCTGAAAAGTTCAGAGAATTAATTCATGTTTATGAATAGAAAACAAATACAGTTCATGATTTGTAGATTATTGTTCAGAGACATATATCAATCATGGAGCTACAGTTCATGTATTTTATGTGTGCATTGCATTCAAATCAGTATTATTTCTGTGGTAAAGCTGGCTCCTACTGAAAACAATCTTAAACTATATTATTAATATCAAAATGCTTTTGAATATCCTTCTATTATGTTAAGCAGCGCACCCTCCTGGTGAAGACACGTACTACTTGTAAACGTTTTCAGTAATAACTGCTAGATGGAGCAAGACGTTCAAAATACAACAAAACTGATTGCATTGCACGTTGGTTACTTTTTCCATGGTGGAAATGGTCCATCTTTTTCCATGGTCTTTTTCTATTTTCTTTTATAATTTCTACTAATTTATAATTATTATTGCAGTGATGCAAATATTGAAAAATCTGAGATATAAAAATTATTTTAAAAATTTTGTGTAACTAGTTACATTAACGCCTATAATAGCCCAACAATGAGAAGTAATTTTCAGAATATAAAATTACCATGTCGCGGCTTGTATTGTTGCCTGGTATCTCGTGAAAGTCTCGCAAAAGAAAGGAAAACAAGCACGGGAAATTGAATTTGCAATTTTGCGAAACTACACACACACGCGCGCACACGCACGCACACACGCACCCACATACGCGCGCACACACGCACAAGCTCGCGCACACGCACGCACACACGCGCACACACACACAGGCACATACGCGCGCGTGCACACACACACAAATATGTATATAAAATTACGTAATACTATTTAAAGAGTTGTGTTTGAAGATCAGATTTTAACAAAGAAAAATATATTCTAAATTTGGTAGATGTGGGAATTCGCCGAACAAATTTTGAACTTCATAATTTTCGAAAATCGATTTTCAGCATTATTCAATCTCGAAATCGATCTTCCGCAGCATTACTAAATTTTCTCTACGCCACATATATTACTTTATTCAAGCACGTTACACTCTACCGCTACACAATTTTTGAAAATTTTTGAAAAAAACGTTAATTTATGTATGTATGGTACGAGGGAGTAAAACTAGATTTAGGTACTTTTTAAAATACAGAAAAATAAAGTTGATGCCATCTTTGACAGTGCATTTGGCTCAATCCCTAAAAAAAATTCCAAGGAAAAATTTGGAACCATTTTTTAAAAAATCTTGTTTTTAATACATATTTTTAACTGCCCTTATTATACTCACAATTACGTAAAAGCTACTAATATTTTCAAAACAATGTACATTAATGAATTTATTGTCGAAAAGAAAGACGTGGCGACGAATTTCGCGGGTTCGCCGTTCACATCTGAGCGTCGGCTATTATGGTTCGGTGACGGTGTTTCTTATGCCATAAAGAATAGGCGTTCGCTTCTATTCTTGCGCGAGATAGACAATGCCGAGTTACTTGTAGTCCGTCTTCTGACCTCATGGAATACGGTTCTAAATAATAATAATAATAATAATAATAATAATAATTTTTTGCCACAATTGGCGTCTTTGCCAGGTGGTAGTCAATTAATTACACTGTACAAATGAAAATGAAGTGACATTAAATATTTCATAATAAATACAATGAAAACGAACAATGAAGTAATAGTAAATATAATGTATTACATAGAACCGTGTGTACCCCAGCATAGCAAGAAGTATTTACATCCTTTATTTACGATTTTCCATCAAATTGTTAATAACTCTTTAGGAAACGAAGAAAAGGGGTGCAGAATTTTCAACTTGAAAGGAAAAAGTATGGAAATTTTCATTCTTTAATGCCATAAATGACAAAAAATACGTTTTTTATATTAATTAGAGTGGCCAGTAAGTGTGTTGATGAAATTTTAAATCTGATCGCAGAAGACCCGGGGTTCGACCTTGCATGCCGGCCGCGCAACCGGCCCGGTCAGCCGGTAGGGGCGTGCCTCCCCTTAATGACGCAACGGTGACGTGCGGAGGGGTAGGCGTCAGCGGGCTATAGTAGGCTTTATTTAACAGTGCACTTGACGCAAATCAGCTGTTCACGGTTTCATCCAATCGGAAGCTTGAACGTCCCCACAGTACGTCACTGTAGCGATATATACGCTCTCGATTGGATGAAACAGCAACAGCTGGTTTACGTCAAGTGCACGTCTAAATAAATCTAACCGTGCAGAAAGGTTTTGGACGTGAGAGCAGAAAGAGGTTGGGGAAAGTGAGCTGTTGGGGCAGTGGTAGTGATATAAGGTGGTTAGAAGAAACGGTGACGGCGCTATCGCGCTCTGGCCTTCGGCGTTGGAGCAACGCGCCGCCCTCTGTGGCCACCGTCGCCGCCGCGAAAGAATCGGGTGGAAGCAGTTCAAAGTCGACGACCAACCCCGTCGTTAGGGGGGCCAAGGCCCCGGTCAGAGGTCGGTAGCAACCGCCTTTCTTATCTTGCTTCCTTTCTGTGTCCCGACCTACGAGAAACTTGGAGTTCGCCAAGCCGGTAAGGAGATGTCCATAAATTACGTAACGTAAATTTGGAGTATTTTGAATATCCCCTATCCCCCTTGTAACACCCTTGTAACGCGTGCTTGAACCCCCTTCTAATAATTATGTAGCACTTGAGACAAGCCCCACCTCCATAATTCCTATAAGGAATACTCAATTAAAAAGCAGAAACTAGTTGTATTAATTGTATTTGTGTTAAACATCAAAAGTTATTAACGTGGGGGGCGGGTCACGCGGGCTGGATAAAGTGGGCTGGCACAGGCGTTGGAAGGTGTGGGTGGAGCTGGGGAGGTGAAACGAGACAGGGTGAGAATGGTAGGATGCGGCAGGACCAGACAGTGTAAAGCCGAAATACAACATACATATAATTAATTCCTTTTCGTGCCAAACGATTATGATTAATAAAAAACCGGCGCAAGGAGCTTAACTTGTGTACAATATAATTTTTATCACTTTTCATAACTGTTACAGATAATACGAGAAAGTATTTGACATATTCTACCAGCAGTTTAAGGATGGCGCAGGTGACGAGAAGAATCACACGGTTTCTACCAAAAATAGAGCAAAATTCGTGTAAAAAAAGTGCCACTTTAATTATCCTGGGGCAATAATATTACGCGTTACGTCAGTTTCCTTCGATACACTTACCCGCAGACCTGTCTTACAATCTTCCCCACACACTCACATGTTATAACGTCCAAAAGCCTTTCATGGGGAAAATTGGCAAGAAATCAATTTTACGTTTTAAATGATTAGCGCCACAGACCGTGAAACGCTCCGGTTTCAATGAACCCATGGTAGTGGGTATAATGGGATCAGTCCGTAGAACCGGACCTACTGACTCCGCTCTCCTCTACGTCCATCAGCAAACCCAAATCGTTTACTTGGATGCAATAGATAAGGAAACTAACTTCTTTTTGAAGGATAACCGCCGTAGAATTCTTCGGAGATACCCTAGCCTACAGTCGTGATGACATAAGGACAGAGAATATGTAACGGGAGACAGACACTGGGTTCATTACTAAAATCATTTTAATGTTCTTATTATTCCCGGATTATATGCAGAAGAAATACCTCCTTTCTCTCCTAGTTGGTGAAAGGAGCGTAGCGAAATTTGCATGGTCAGACGGAAGAGCGGGCCTGATGGCCCGAGTCTCGCCACGTA